ATTTATTAATATATAACTTTACTAAACAAAACGCATAAATGTCTATAATATATGGAAGAATTTGATAGAATTGTCTAATGAATAAAAGTCTAGATTCTGTGAATATTCTTTGCACAACTCATTCATTCAATATAATTATTATTTATTTAATCGTATCAACGATTAAGTGATTAATAACTGATTGAATAATATTAAGAGTAATTCTATGAATAAAATGAAAAGTGTTATAATTTGAATGATATTTATTACACAATTCCTGTTATATACAGTACTTGACAACAATTCTCTATCTTATCTCATGTAATGTAACGTATAATCAAATGTGTAAAACAGAGCTTACATGATATACTATAGACTCGTGAGCTAAGAAGTAACTAACTCCTAAGTTACCACATGTAGTTTATAGGCGGATCAACTGCAAAGGTGCTAAGTCAACAATTAAATAACTGATTATGGTCATTTTTAACTTTATCATTAAAGTTACTAAAATAATGGTAAAACTACTGTACAATACTTCAATATCACTTTAATAATTACCTGAAGATCAACACTCAGTCCGCTAGGGTTTGGGACATATATTTGTTGAACTGATCCGTCGGTCACTACTTTTCAATCGATGGACTCGTGTGACCGCAAAAGAGCTTCAAATATTGCTAACAAAATAAATTTAATTGATTTTTGGGGTTTAAGTCACGAAAAGTGATTATATTATTGACGCGTTCTTTATGTATGGCTTTTGTGTTGAAAAGGCATTACTTTTTGGTTCAAACGATAGTTTAAATTGCGATACAATTTGCCCCACAATTAGCCGTTGAATCGGGATTTGAAGTGAAAACTCACATCAGATCCACGCGCGAAGACATCAGCCATACCAAGTGATGGGAGTGCCGGCATTCTTCCGATGGCTGTCGAAGAAGTATCCGTCGATTGTTGTCGAGTGCGACGACGGCGTGAAAGGAAAGGCACACTTCGACAACCTATACCTCGACATGAATGGTATTATCCATCCGTGCAGTCATCCCGAGTATAAGGCGGCCCCAGAGACCGAGGAGGAGATGTTTGTGGCCATCTTCGAGTACATCGAGCGCATTATGACGATCGTGAAGCCCAAGAAGTTGCTGTACATGGCTGTGGACGGCTGCGCCCCGAGGGCTAAGATGAACCAACAGAGGAGTCGCCGCTTCCGCGCCTCTCAGGAGTCGATCGACCGCTTGCTTGAGATCCAGAAAATCAAAGACGAGTTGAGAGGAAAGGGTATTGAAGTGAAGGACAAACCAAAGTCGGCTCACTTTGACTCGAATGTGATCACTCCCGGCACTCAATTCATGATCAATTAATTTATTAATATATAACTTTACTAAACAAAACGCATAAATGTCTATAATATATGGAAGAATTTGATAGAATTGTCTAATGAATAAAAGTCTAGATTCTGTGAATATTCTTTGCACAACTCATTCATTTAATATAATTATTTATTCAATCGTATCAACGATTAAGTGATTAATAACTGATTGAATAATATTAAGAGTAATTCTATGAATAAAATCAAAAGTGTTATAATTTGAATGATATTTATTACACAATTACTGTTATATACAGTACTTGACAACAATTCTCTATCTTATCTCATGTAATGTAATGTATAATCAAAATGTGTAAAACAGAGCTTACATGATATAATATAGACTCGTGAGCTAAGTTACCACATTTGCAGTTTATAGGCGGGTCAACTGCAAAAGGTGCTAAGTCAACAATTAAATAATTGATTATGGTAATTTTTAACTTTATCATTAAAGTTACTAAAATAATGGTAAAACTAGTGTACAATACTTCAATACCACTTTAATGTTTGCCGAAAGATCAGCGCTCTGTCCGCTAGGGTTTGGGATATATATTGATTGAACTGATCCGTCGGTCACTACTTTAGAGTCGATGGACTCGTGTGACCGCAAAAGCGCTTCAAATATTGCTAACAAAATAAATTGAATTCATTTTTGGGGTTTAAGTCACGAAAAGTGATGATATTATTGACGCGTTCTTTATGTATGGCTTTTGTGTTGAAAAGGCATTACTTTTTGGTTCAAACGATAGTTTAAATTGCGATACAATTTGCCAAACAATTAGCCGTTGAATCGGGATTTGAAGTGAAAACTCACATCAGATCCAACCGCGAAGACATCAGCCATAGCTAGTGATGGGAGTGCCGGCATTCTTCCGATGGCTGTCGAAGAAGTATCCGTCGATTGTTGTCGAGTGCGACGACGGCGTGAAAGGAAAGGCACACTTCGACAACCTATACCTCGACATGAATGGCATTATCCATCCGTGCAGTCATCCCGAGTATAAGGCGGCGCCCGAGACCGAGGAGGAGATGTTTGTGGCCATCTTCGAGTACATCGAGAGGATTATGACGATCGTGAAGCCCAAGAAGTTGCTGTACATGGCTGTGGACGGCTGCGCCCCCAGGGCTAAGATGAACCAACAGAGGAGTCGCCGCTTCCGCGCCTCTCAGGAGTCGATCGATGCGAACGAACTCTAGGTCTTTTAGTTTCTGCTCAACTCTCCTTTCCCATAACTTCACTTCCTGTTTGGTTTCAGCCGAGTGAAACTGAGCTTACACTAGTGAGGGCCGTGAGTTAAGTACTAGTTAATGAGTAACGCTTTGCGCCAATGGATCGACGAGAAGCTCAGCGCCGACAACGAGGACAGGGATGGCCTCTGGCCTAAAGACATGGTTGTCATTCTGTCGGACGCGTCCGTTCCCGGAGAGGGAGAGCACAAAATCATGGAATATATCCGCAAACAAAAGGCACAGTCGGCCACATATGATGCCGATCTGTCGCACTGTCTGTACGGCGCGGACGCCGACCTAATTATGTTGGGTTTGGCCACTCATGAGCTCAACTTCACGATCTTGAGAGAGGAGTTCAAACCGAATCAACCGAAACCGTGCGATATCTGCAACCAATTGGGACACGACATGAAGGAGTGTTTGGGGACTGAGAGGCCGCCCGACGACATGGAGGCGCTTCTGCCTCAGGAGCCGGAATTCATTTACATTCGTTTATGTGTTTTACGCGAATACTTGGCGAAGGAGTGCTCGGGATGTGCCGTCCACTTGGATTTGGAGCGATTTATCGACGATTTTGTCTTCTTATGCTTTTTCGTCGGAAACGACTTTTTGCCGCATTTGCCGTCTCTGGAGATCCGAGAGAACGCCATCGACCGACTCATCAGTATTCACAAAGAAAACGCCACCAAATATCCGAATCCAGACAACCCTTATCTCACGAAAGATGGATCCGTTTTCATGGAAAGAGTTCAATACGTTCTGCAAGAGTTGGGAACAGCGGAGGACGAGATCTTCAAAGCGAGACAAGAGAATGAGATTCGGTTTAAGGAGAGACGTAAGCGACAGAAACTTCACACCTTTAATCTGAACAACCGATGGGCGCGACCGGAGGCCGTCGGCGGCCGCGGAAGTAGACCCCAAGCCTTCGACAACACCCGCAACGAAGCCTATCAGATGAGAATGACTCCAAATGTGCTGTTAAATTCGCGGCGAGTCTTCGAATTTAGCTACGAGTTTCTGCCGCCCTGACCGCGACTTTCGTGACTGTTGAGGTTGTGGCCGCTGTTATGCCCACAATTTGCATTTGCTCTTCTTCTCCAGGAAAAAGCGCCCGAAGATTCGGATTCGGATCCCGAAGACTTGGTACAGCTCTATACCGAAGGCTGGAAAGAGCGGTACTATAACCACAAGTTTGACTGCACTTCGACAACAGTCGAAGAGATTAGTTCAATGGTTGCCCGCGAGTACATCATTGGCTTGAGTTGGGTTCTGCTGTACTACTATCAGGGATGTCCGGACTGGAAGTGGTTCTATCCCTTCCATTACGCGCCGTTTGCCAGCGATTTCAAGAACATCGCTAGCGTTGAAGTGAAGTTCGACCGCAAAGCTCTGCCATTCAATCCGTTGGAACAGCTGATGAGTGTCTTTCCGGCCGCTTCGTCGCAGAATCTGCCGCCGACGTGGAGACGACTCATGAGTGACCAGCAGTCGTCGATCATTGACTTCTATCCCAACACTTTTAAGATCGATTTGAATGGAAAGAAGGCCGCGTGGATGGGCGTCGCTCTCCTCCCCTTCATCGACGAGAGCCGTCTCTTCAATGCTCTCAAAAAAGTCTATTCAAATCTGACTGAAGAGGAAAGAGAGAGGAATGCCAGAGGAAATCATCTCATATTCGTAGCGAAGATTGAGTCCGATTTCTCAGACTTTTCCAAACAAGTGGTCGAGTCTTCGGCTCAAATGGATGTTCCCATAAATCCTGAACTGTTTCGCGGTATCGCAGGAACTCTGGCCAAGAGTGAGTCCTTTACGTCGCGCTATAAGCGAGTGTATTGTGCCGTATATAAGGATCCGGTCTATGACCCGGACTTTGTATTCCCGGCCATTCGTCTGTCGAACGCAAAGGCGCCCGAAGTTGTGCTCAGACCCGAAGACTTGGAGAAACTGGAGCGCTATAACTGGCGGCCAACCATTGGTATGAGACGTCACGACCAAAAAGCACACGTCAGCGAAGGAGGAATGAGAATGTTTTCGCACTCATTCTCAAGAGAACATTCCTCTTATGGCAATCAATACCACCGAAACAGTGACGACAACTTCGGACAGTATCAGAATCCATACAATCGACAACATCTGGCCAGAGATCAGCAGCAGCAACAACAGGGATACAACAGCTATTACAGGGCTCCGGACTCTTACCGTTCAAATCAAAACAACTATCGTTCGTCGCAATCGAGTCAACAGAACTCTTACCGCACTTCAGATCAGTCCCAATATCCCAGAAACGACTATCAAAGACAACAAAATCGAGGCAACGATAATTGGCGTCAAAGCAATCAGCCGTCAAACAGCTATCAAAGCAATCAATCGTCTTATGGCTCGCAATACAACCAAAGGAATACCAATGCATACCAGAGCTATGACGGGAACGGCAGGAATCCAAGACAACAGCGTCCGTACGATCAGCAGCAGAGGAATTATCCACAAACTCCTTATTACGGCGCGAATACCAACCAAAACAACAGACGCGAAGATCCCTGGAATAGACGCCAATGATCTCAACCATTATTCCCGACATTTGTATAATTTGTTGACAAGTTTTATGAATTATTTCTAAATAAAAAACAAACAAATAGTTATTTTTATTTATAATTTTTATTATAAATATGAATGTATTATTCAGTAATTATAATGTGTTTTATTATTGTTTAGGTTTTTTAATGTGTAAATCAAATCTAAATCATGACTAAATGTAATGTAATTATAATTTATACAAAATTCAGTTTAACAATACGTGCGAAATATTTGTAAACAATTTTTAAATTAAATACATTTAACGCAAAATATATTGATTTTGAGATCAATTCAATGCTAAGTTGTTTGAAAATAGCGCTCAAAACAGTGACAACCAGTGAAAGGGTGTAAAACACATGTAAACACATGTTTGGCTGCAAAAGCATTGGTTTTGCCATTCATTGCATGTGTTTTTGCAAAGATTTTAAATTGAGTTTCAATTCACATCTTATGTCCAAATAATGTCCAAAAAAGTGTTGCATTTGAACGACTCGTCCGATGAAGAGTCCAATCAATTGAATCTGAACTCAGATTTCGCCAAAAACTATGACATTTGGCGCCGAAAGGAAGAGATCCAGAAATTGAAAGACAAATACGGAGACAATTTGGACGTATTGTCCGATTCCGATGACCAGTCGGACGACTCCCAGGCATCCGATGACTCCGACGACCAGTCGGACCAATCCATTGGTGACAATCAACACGTCTTCGACGAGAACTTCTTTAAAGTCTATTCGGCCCTCAAATCCAGAAATCCTATCATTTATGACCAAAACGTTAAGTTCTTTAACGAATCGCCGATTGAATCCCAAACTGAAGACAACTCTAATGAAGTGATTGACACCAAAACTAAAGAGAAGACATTGTCTTTGAAAGAATACCACAAGAAATTGATTAAAGAGAAGAAGGGAATCACCGAAGAAGACGAACAGCAAACCAATGGATTTGAAGACAAACCGTTTGGTTATTACGAAGAATTGGATCAATTAAAAGACGAATTGAAGTCTGCCCTCCATTCCGATGAAACCGACGAACAATTATTCAAAGGGAAGACACCATCAGTTAGTGTCGACTCGAAGACTAAGTCTATTGACTTCTTCAACGACGACGACAGCACTGAAGCCAACGATACGGACATAAAATATTTGAAGAATTACTGGAAAAATGACAAACAATTGGAAGACAACGAAAAGTTCTTAAGGGATTATATCGTCAATAAAAGTTATCTCAATGTTAATGACAGGGATGTGTTTAGCAAAACAGAGTTTACGGGCAATGATGTCAATGAAGACAGCGATGACAACGAAGGCGAGGACAACGGTTTTGAGACAATCGATGACACGAAGAAAAAGGCCGAGAATGAGGTGAAAGTGAGTCAATTTCATTTTGAAGAACCCAATTCTGTGGCCATTAAACGATATCCGAGAAGTGTTGAGACGATTCGCGACACAACTAATAGCGAAAAAAGGGCTCAAAAGAGGAGCGAAGCGAAGGAACGCAAGAAACGAGAGAAAGAGAGAGAACTGAAACGACTCCGAAAGCTGAAGAAAGAGGAGCTGAAAGAGCGTCTCATTAAACTACAAGAGATCAGCGGTAATGATAACTTGGATTCAAATGATTTGGTCTTAAGTCAACTCTTGGACGACGAGAATGACTTCGATTCCGAGAAATACGATCAAAAAATGGACGCTTTGTTTGGAGATAATTATTACGAAACGGAAAACTCGGCCAAAAGTAAACCGAAGTTTGAATTCATGCCCGAAATCGATGACTACGAGTGTGCGGAGGAAGACGTCGATAACAGCGCCGAAGTTGAGGATAATGTGAGTAAAAAGTGTTTATATTTTATTTGTCTTTTTCTCTAATATATTTTACTTTTGAACTATTTTAGGCCAAAAATAAACATAAATTAAATAAAAAAGAGGAGAAAAAGCAAAAACGGATTCACAAACAAATGAAAGAAATGGGTATTTTCGAGGACTTAATTGGAGGCGATTTGGCCACACGTTATAAGTACCGAACGGTTCCGTCTAATGATTTTGGTCTCACCGACGAAGAGATCCTGTTTTCGGACGACAAAGAGCTGAACAAATGGTGTTCTTTAAAGAAAATGACTCAATACAGAGAAGACAATGAAGAGGTTTATGACGTGAAAACCTATGCAAATAAGGCCTCAAACTTAGCCCTCAAACAAAAGATACTGAAAAGTTATTTTGATAAACAAAATGATAATCAATTGAACGAAGAAATGAGTAGTAATGCCAACGGAAAGAAGACTCGGAAACGAAAGCACAAGAAACCGCAATTTACCATAGAATTGATGGACACTCACAAGAATAGCACTTCTAATGCCAAAGAAGTAAACAGCGATAATGTGGTCAAAAAGAGTAATAAATTAAATAAATCGAAAAAATTTAAGCGAAATAATAATAAAGAGAAATCAAATGCAAATGAGAGCTCGTATTCGGGCGTCAGTGTTGATAGACTCAAAGCCTATGGTTTAAGTAACAGAAAAATTAAGAAAATTAATCATAAGAATAAATAATTCATTTTCAACACTAGTTTTATAAATAAATTGCTTTACAAATTATTCGTGTATTTAATTTCATGATTTTTATATTTTTATTTGAATAAATCATTAAAGAATATATTTATAAATAAGTTAAAAATTAGATTTAATTTTATGTTAAATTGTAGGTAAATATAGTGAACATAAGATAAATTATAAATACATGTATAAATGGTATAATAATTAAAATATAATGTTGTAAAATTGAGAGCAATTGTTAACTACATTGATATAAAGGCCGGATTAATGACACCATTTTCGGGTCCAATGTTCAGTTCAGACGGAATACCATTTATGTAAAAGTTATTCAATGATGGCTTCGTGTGGACAATAGGGTGAGAACTTTTGAACAAATATTTGTCTGCGTTTTGTTTCCATAGTTTTGTTGGTTTAAGACTTGCCTTTAGTTTTTTCATAACATTACGAGATGTGAAGACATAAAACAAGTGTGATATTGCGCCCAATGGTATAGCGGCCACCGATATTAAGGCCAGAGACCAACCGATCCATTGAGCCCAAGACGGGTAAACATATTTACCATAAGTTATCACTTCTTCACTGTATAAAAGTCCGAATATGTCTTTATAGAGAATGATAGCGATTGCAATCGGAGAGCAAGTGGTGATCATCACTATTATATGTGAGCGCATTATATCCGATGGCATCCAACCTGTCATTAATTTTAGGTCCTGAAAGAAGTTTGAAATTCCTAATAGAAAATGAATTAATTATTCAAATGACAATATTATTGCTTATTATAATCAATACCATAAATGTAAGCGACGATAAAGATCTCAAAGAGGCCGACAATAAGGCAGGGAATGCCGGCCGCATATGTGTCCATCAAATTCAATATATAAACGCCAGCGTTTGTACAAAGAGGTAAACCGCATAAAAACCATATAAAGCCGGCGATTGTCACGACTGCCGGTTTATTGAGCTTATATTTGGAGTTTCGCTACAAATTTGCAAATTATTCTTTTAGGAAACTTTGATTTTAAACAATATGTTTAACATTACTAACCAATAGATCAAAGATATAAGTGATAACAGTCTCAACCATTGCGAACTGGGAGTCAATGCCCAATAGGAATAACATGGCGAAGAACATCATTGACCAAACTATTGATAATGGCATTTGTGATAGTCCTTCAGGAATTACTATAAATGCCAAACCTATTGATTGTTTCAATTAATAAGTATTAAAATACATTTAAAACATTAATTTAAATGTAATACCGGTTCCACTTTGCACTATATCATCAATGGGTTTATTTAAGGCATGAGCCATATATCCAATCATTGCAAACACAACAGATCCGCAAAAAATTGATGTCAAGAAGTCTCCGATTCCCACCAATAATGAATGTCTGACCTTAGTTTTGATCACAAACTATATGTTATCCAAAAACTTTTTCAAGCACTTTCATTATATCTTACGACTGGATCCGTGAATTTATTATAAGAAGCGTAAGTAATCATTCCTCCGCCGCCTTAACACACAGACAATCAATTAATAGCCAATCGTTTAAATGCTTATATTTATGCACAAAAAAACACAAACCGATTCCAAAACTATAGAAGACCTGAACGGCTGCGTCCCTCCAAACTGTCGGGTCTTTAACACGACTCCACTCTGGGGTCACATAATATCGCAAACCTGTAGAAATGTTTATGTAATTTAATCGCGTTTAAAGACACGATAAATAAAATAGTTTGCGACAAACCATCGATTGCTCCGTCGAGTGTTATTCCTCTGATAAACAGAATTACGAGAATAACATACGGAAACGTTGCCGTAAAATATACCACTTTACCTATACATATTTGAAAAATATTTTATTTAATATAAATTATAATGAAATTAAAATCACAATTTTTACCTGAAGATTGAATTCCTTTAATAAGTGCGGCGACAACTATAACCCAAGAAGCGAACAGCGCTCCCACTAATCGCCAATTCATTGAATTCATAATCTCTAATCCATCAGATTTTGCCAAAACATAGTTACTATAAATAAGTTTACGTTATATTTTTGCTTTTAAAACAATCTTCTCTTTAGTTTTTACTTAAAGTACTCTTCAGTCGACGAAATTGAATAATTAGTAAAATTCATTTTATCATTAATTGTTGTGCAATCTATTAGATGTAAATTTAAAAATCAAAATTTGTTTTTATATGCTTTGTGAATTGTCTGCAGACTTAATGAATTGAAATGTTGTCCGCAATGTTGCCAATCCTGGCCTAAGAGTGAGGCAACGAAGTAAAAGAGAGTCCAAGCGATTATCATATTGTAATACACGGCCACAATCATTGAGCTAATAATTGATGTCAATCCCAGTCCTTTATTAAATTCATTAATTTATTATAAATTTTCAACAATAAGTTATATATTATAATCTATATTCATCGCTAAAACGTTTAGATAATATAAAACAGAATTGTTATATACATGTTGTAAATAAATTACCTTTAAATAATGGTGATAGATTAGCATATAGGTGAGCTGGGCCCATTGATGAATATTGACCAAGACTTAACTCGATTAGAAATAGCGGTAATCCAATTACAAAAGAGCAAATAATATATGGGATGAGAAATGCACCTAAAGTTCAATGTAATGTTATTTTAAAAGTTTTATGTAATTCAGTAATAAGTCTGTATTATTCAGTTTAAATAAGGTGAATAATATATGTATAATAGTATCATGCACACTATTAAAATCTTCAATATAAGCTACTGTATAACATGTCATAGTAAGTATATAACAAATGCAAACATACCGCCGCCGTTTTTATAACACAAATATGGAAAACGCCAACACTTTAAGGATAAAAATATTAATTGTAGCACAAAATTTTATTATTAATATTAATAATTTAGTATACATTTCCGAGTCCGACAGCATTTCCCAAACAGGCCAACAGAAACTCTATTTGTCCGCCCCATTGATCCCGAGGTTCTTTAGGAGGTTCTGCGATCGGATGCATGTCTTTCCCGTTTTTGCCATTGTGTGACCGAAGCTCAAAATTATTTGAGTTTAAACTCAATGTTGTAGTCATTACTGGGAATAAATATAATTAAATAATTTATTTAATAATTAAATTTTAGTTGTTATGCATTTTTGTAAAAACTTTTTACAACAACATTTGATTCATTAAAATATCTCATGTTTTGTAAAGAATTAGTAAAATGCAGTGAAATGAATGAAAAATATATAATAATATCATTTTTATGAATTATGGGTTGTTATACCTGAAAGTAAATATGAAATTAAATTTCGAAATATTTAAATAAATGTCTCAATAAATTATTATTATTGAAACTATAGTGAAAAACAATAAAATAAACGGAATATAAAGGAATAATGAATTCACAAAAATTAATTTGTTGCTAAGATCTTGAGTACAATATTTTGTGAACCAATTTCATGTGGACTTCGGATTCACAAGTGATAGAGTCTTACAGACTATTAGTGTCCATAATTTGCATGAATTAGCGCTCATTTTCTAATGAACACCAATACAAACATCAATAATATATAAATACAATCAATTTGTGTATTATTTAATAGTCTGACAAAATAGTTGACAATAGATTGCATAAAATCCTTGACATAACGATATGTATATTCAAACAGAAAACTTTTTTGATGTAATTATTTGTTTTCGATAATCCAATTCCAGCTGCGATTATAACAAACAAAATATTTTATCCTAAAGTCTAAAACTATTCACCGCTTATTCCGCTACACAATTGCGAATGAATTAGATATTATAATATTATTAATATATACGGTATATAAATAACAGATTTATATTATATAAAAGTTATATTCATTATTCATTTATTCTTTACCTTTCACTTGTATATTGACTTTCAAGTGATTTTTTATACTTCAATTTCAAAATGTTTAGAAATCGGAAAAAATACTATTTTTTGACCAATTGTTTGGAAAATACATAATTGTGTCACAAATATGTATTGATGACAAAAACTGGTGATACAATTGAATACCAGCTCTCTATTCGTGCAAATCGTGTGTTTTTTGAGAGCATAAA